CTCGGCAAGAAAGTAGTTGTTTGGCAATGATGATGGATCCCTTTCCATGGAAGACCAATCTCATATCTATCTCCTGCTTGACACAAGATGCTTGCATCAATTCAAGTGACCTTTACGATCTTCGGCTGACATAACTTCAGTTGGGCAGTCACAAATTGGGAGCCTGAATCCCAAGTGGGTCTCAGCAAGTCATAAAACTTCTCAAGATTAACTTTGTCAATAAAGTTAACTGAACAGATGGATGAAAGACGTTGTGTTTTGTCTGGTCCCATCTGCTATACCATCCTAGTTTCGTCCGCTTCCCAATTGGTTCAAATGGCGGTCCTTTATGGCAGTCGCCTCTTCTTCCTATGATGCAGGTGACTGTAGTGTACTCCCAATATCAAGGTCAATCGGTCCAGCTTTGTGTGGAAGTCAATATCCTAAGTGAGGGAAATGAATGTAACCATGGCTATCCAAGGGCTGCATACTCAAGACTGTCTTATTGTCAATCTCATAGGCATCTATCTGGAATTCTTCTCCCGCTCTCTAGAGGTGAAACCCAAAACTTTACTCGTCGGCTATTGACATTTTCCAACCTTTCACATCCTACTAAATGACAAATGAAGTCTCTCTTGTTTGCCTTTGGGAGTCAAGAGCCTTTGCAAAATCCTTTCTTATGACTGGTCCCTGTACCACCACCATCCACTAAGACATTCCAACTTCTCGTGTTCTGCCATTCTGTGCTTTGAACATTACTCTCACTACTGGCAATATGCTATCACAATCCAGAGGTGTCGTGACTGGGCTTACTATTATTGGTGGATCCATGTGGAGCAGTTTATGGTGAGTCCTTTTGCAGCCATTTGTAGCACCTGTTCGCTTGACTTGCACTCTCTAAGCTAAGTGTCCCTCTCACCCAGACAACTGAAACATAGTCTGAGATCTTGTGACCTCTGCACACGTTCTGATACAGATGAATCAACAAATGTGGGACACTCTGAAACTCGGTGTTCCTCTTCACACATGTAACACTTTGGTGTTCTCTTTATTGCTGCTGTGAATATACACCCCCTTTTCCTATCCCTAGGGTTTGGAAAATTTTGGTTTCAATCTGTCTTGCCCTTTTCAATGTCACCAAAATCAGGATCAAACTCATCTTTGACCCTTTTCTCACAAAGTCACTAATATATGAGTCACTGAGCTGCACTTCACCCTTCTCTCTAAGATCTGTAGCGAATAAATTTCCACTTCTCTATATGAGGTGTGATGGCAGACGGGTCACAATCTTCCGTAGATTATCATTGGCATTCCCATCTGCATAGTAATTATGCGTTGGAGGGTTCAATGGTGCAGTTAATTAGGTCAAGTGAAAAAGTCGTCACGCAAGGCATCTCTATTATTTCAGGAATCTTTGGCCTTTGTCAGCTTGTTAATATGTGCACGTAATAATGCTTTGCCTGACCAAACCGATCTTGTAGAATCTTCAAAGCTGTGGTATATATTGTTCCACCAGACCAAGTCCAGATATAGCCCTCTCTGCATCACCTGATACATGCATTCTCAGCTGCATCATCCTCTCATATCATCTGACAGATGAGGTTTATTATGAATATATATGAATTTTGAACTTCTCAATAAAGTTCACATACTCCAGAGGGTTTCCATCAAACTTCCTAAGGTAACAGGAATGTCTTTGCTTCCAACTTAAATAGAGCCTCAACAATAGACATATTATTCAAATTTGAAGGCAACTCTGTCTCTATGTAAACTCAACTAGACCTCCTATCCATGTATCAAATGGCTGGTTCTGTTGTAAAGGGCCTGGCTTCTCAACTGCCGATGACTGTTGTTGTCCAGTATGTGAGCTTTTGCCACTAGACAAACTTGATGGGATATCATCTTTCTCACTGGTGTTAGATTGTGACTGATCCGGTGAATCGCTGTGGATGTATCTACCAAGATTCTGTTGATTGTGCCCTAATGTCCTGCAGAATGACCATCAGCTGATGAATTCTGTTCAACTTTAACTCCCTGAACCCGATGGAGTAGAATGATGAGACTTATTAGCATGATTAGACTTTGTAGTCTTCTGTTTCTACCTTGATTTTACTGTGTGATAGATCTTCCTCTCCATTTTCACTAAGTGAAAAGTGAAATCTTCAGCCTCTTCCTCAAAGGTGTAGATGTCATTTATTAAATCAGCCTCCACTGGTCTAACCTGGCAACCCTGAGTTTCATCAACATAGGTATAGAGTTCTGCATGTATCTCACAGGCCTTAGTATAGTCTGTACGTAACTCCTCCAGTTCTTTCAACAGTCTTCGTCGACTCACATTCTCTTGAGCAATAGCTTCTTGCACTCTATGGATAGTTGTAGTTATTTTTCCTCGAATACTCTTTTCTCTTATTCTTCACCAACTTGATTCTCCCTTCAATATCTTGGGTATGTAGATCATCACCCATTGCCAGATATCATCAGGTGATGGTGATGAACCATGATTCTTCTCCTAGCTACCAAGCTGAACACTGTACTTTCTCTTCAGGAAAATTGGTAGGAATCATATAGAAAGAACCATAAACACTGGTCGAGATATTCCTCTAACAAGGATGTTTACTTCCAGGTTCTTGAAATAACAGAATGATACAATGCTTAGCAGCTTATATTTAGCACTTATTATCATGAAACAACATTTGGTGAATATCCCATTATATTGAAACTACAGCAATAAGTTCACAATACATGACACTGTCGTACAATGACTGCTCCCAAGTTTCACGCAAACTGAAAAAGTCTAGCAAAACTACAGATAGTAAATTCCATGAATTAACACTGAGCATGTTGACTTAATATTGATTCCTAAAACTACAAACTGACTCTAAAATCCTGACACATTATAACGAGAATCTGCCATATAATTTACAAAACACAATGTATCAGAGCGCACCATTACCACGAAAATAGGATACAGTTTGCACGTGACCAAATAATTGAACATTCCTATAATTGCAAAATACTCTGAAAATAGTATAATACACCATACAAACATGGATATATTATAAGAGTGACATTTGTACCTGAAGAGTGCATCTCGACCATCTCTGAAACTTCATATATACTTGCTCTCAACAAACTCTTTTGACCATCGCGGGTCACTCACTACGCTCGCTCGCAGTAAACTTTCAACAGCCAGGGAGCATCTATTGTATCAAATGTCAACGACTTAAGCCACTACTACGATGTATCTACAGTCAGAGAACTTAACTACTGGTCAAATAAGATATTATTCCAAACTAGTACACAAAATGCAAAATACTGCTGCACATTTCCTGACTAGAAACAATTCTGCAAAATATTATGATTACATCAGGGAAAACCAAACAAATTGTAGTCATGACCACACTAAATATACACTATTAGTCTCTAAAACCAAAACAGTTACAACATAATAAGACTGTCTGCATGGTATTCCTTAATACCAATGTACATGATAAAAATGACAAGCTCTTTATACTGACACACAAATAAAACTAACCATAGCAGAATAATTCAGGTGCAACCTAGCCTTTAGACAACATGTAATATTATTCCAAACACTAACTATGATAGTAGAAATCATAGTTTTAGTTTTAAAACAGACACATCGAAGCAAATCATATTTCTATTGATATATTGGTATCCCTGGATGGTGTTGTTTTATCCCGGTTTGACATTGCAAAAGGATGTTGTTTCATCCTGTGTTGACATAGCAAGAGAGTGTTGCTTCATTCTGACTGTTGGCGAATATTGCTTCCTCTTTTGTGTGGTATGTTGAATTTACGTAGCTAGGGGCTGTTGTTTCATCCCCTGTGAGTCCGTGGTTTGTACGTAGTTCACAATACAGGTTATTCATGTCTTCATAGGCGGAGGGGGTCGCGTAGATACTCAAGTCTTGGCGATCTGAAACATAATAATTATACATTTGAAGTACATGTATGGAACTATTAAAGCCTCTATAACATAAGGATCACTAACACATCCCAAGAAGGTATCCCTGTCTATCACGTACATGTATGTGATAAATTGTATCATGTTTTTGTGACTCACAATTAAGTGATTCAGTGATTCAAACGATTATATAAACCTATGACCCTTATTAAATAGATATCAAAGTCTCAGTTTAAAAACCGCCAAATCTAAGCAAAGTATCTTGCTATATGTAACCTGTCCTTGTTTTAGTGTGTGATTGAGCCTATTTGATTGGCATTCTAGAAGTTGGGTAGATGAAGAATAAGGACTATCTTTATGGATATACAACTTCTTTATTCTATATAGGCGACGTTTCGACATAGATTCTAATGTCGTTGTCAAGCAAGTGATACATGGGAACGAACAAAATTTGCAGTTTTACGTCGGCTTTTAGCGAGGCCAATGTCGCCGACAGGGTAGGTGGGGTTTTAGGTAAATGAATTAATAATGGAGTAATAGGGAGTAAACCACCATACCCCAAAATATGTACATGAAGGGGATTTAAACTTACCTGAATTTTAAATAAAACGTTTATAAATATATAGTAAAATAATGAAAAGCCGAAATTATATAGGGAAAGAGAAAAATAAAGCACTTGTTAATAATAGGAGGAGTTGGAATTGAATAGATATTAAATAAGGTTGGCGCAGAGGGGTGAGGGGTGAAGTAGGGGGTGAGGGTATGGAGACGTTGTGTAGCATATTTTGGGATTAAATTGTTATAGTGCAGTTAAGCTCTGTTAGGAATACGGGGCCTAGTAAAGAAAGGAAAATGGTTTAATGGCGGGGCTTGGGGAGGGGGGGGGGGGTATGAGCACTGAAGTCGGTAAAGGTTTTGCCGAGGGTGTCTGTATTATGGTAGATATAACATGATAGGTATATTGATTAAATAAGAGTGTGGTGGAAGAGTGGGTTGACTTAGGGGTGGGGGAGAGTTTGTAAATGCCAGTTAAGGTTTGAGCTGGGAGCGATAGTGTTCTGTGTGGTATGGGTTGGGGAGAGGGGTGTTATATAATGGCTATGGTTGAAGTAGCGGCTGTGAGTGAGGTGGGTTGAGCGTGGTTGCCATTGTGTGGGAGAGAGAAACCGGATCGAAAAGATAGGAAGGGGCGCGCGGACGTCGGAGAAGACGGCCGCGCTGGGAAAGGTGAATTTGGATCCCTTTTCTAGACAGTGAGGGGAGAGGAGATAGATTTTTTTAGGTTAAGTTTGTATAGAAATTGGATCCATCCATTCATTCATTGTTTTTCTGCGCTTTGAGCTGGACACGATTAACGCCCCGCACCGATCGCCGTCTCAAATCCATTACCACAAAGCTGGCTTCGCCCCCTGTAACCTCCTCCTCTCTACCGACCACAGCCGACTGACTACAAATCAACACATCCTACCGGTCGCCGCACCGTGGCCCCCCAGGGCCTGGAAACACGCAAGTGTTACTTGTGAAACCCTGACTATCATTGACTCCTAAATCATTCGAACTGTAGCTCGCTACTAGATCAAACCTTTTTTCTTTCATCTCATTTGTATTTATGCTTTCTCCTGTAAATTTGTTTGTATTTTCATTTGTATATTGTGTATTCTACCCCAGCCCACACTCCCGGCCCCACTCAATCCCAACCCCCTCCCGCCATACTACACTATGGCCTCCCCACCCCTCCCAGCTTCACTATTCTTCACTCCAACAAAAGAGTTCCCACACCTTACCTCCCCAATTCAAATGGACCCCATCCCCATAAACTTCGGAATCGACATTGATTCCCTGCACCCATCCCTACAAACATCAAAACCACCACCCCCAGCGTCTCAGCCCCCAAGCAACTCAACTAAATCCACTAAACGCCAAGACAATGCACATCTAGCCTGCCCCCTGAAAGCTCACGATCTAACAAAAAGCAATGCGACAAAGCCACCCTACCCCAAGCCCAAGACAATAAGCTCATACTACTAGCCTCCGCCACCAACACACACACTCCGCTCAATCACACATACTCTATCAACAAATTCGCCCTTTGCCTCAAACAGCACAACATACAATACAGATACATAAACAATTGTGGCCGAGGCTTTAAAATCACATTCACTGACAAACAAGCACTAAACAACACACTTAAACACACACTGATAGACGGAAAGCAAATAAACTGGCAATACCCACGCTGGCAAACATCTATACAGGGAGTCATCTACATAGACACAAGCGAAACTGAAACAGACATCAAACACTACATTGACATCGCAAACACCATCCCAAACCAACCAAAAATCAACAACTTCAGAGCAATCAACAACAGACAACCCACCACCTATAATCCTAACACACAAACAACCTTCCTTACATTCGAAACCACTACTCTTCCCACCCACATTATATTTGGCGCCCTCACTTACAAAGTACACCCAACACGCAAAACCCCACAACAATGCAAATACTGTTTTTCATACTCACACATCTCAGATTCATGCAAGCTCCCCATGCTATGTCCAAAATGCGGGTCGGACACACACACACTAGATGAATGTCGCCAACAAAAATACTGCATTCACTTCGACACACCCGGCCACACCGCTACACAAAACACATGTTCCATCAAACAAAAGCACATACTCAGGCTCAACAAACACATTAAAAACACCGACCTGCCCAAACAAGCACGCCCAATACTCGCATACAACTCCATCCTCTCAGCCTCATTATCTTCCCCCTACACCTCCTCCTCCCCTAACTCGTCATTCTATTCACCCCCTCCCCCACCCAAACCCACCAAACCCACCCACATCCCAACCCACAAACAAAACCCAACCCCCCACCGTCCAAACACACCCAGCACCCACCCCTAAACCCACACTTACTCTCACACCACAAAAACTCCACCAAAACTTAAACAAGATAGTAGAATTCATCATCGCAGCCATACTTATGGAAAAACCTACAGCAAAAAAATTACACACACTCGCACACAAATCCAAACTGTACCATAAAAGCCTCGCCAGTCTCCTTATCGCCATCAAAAACCCCTTTTAAACACAACAACCTCTACTAAAGCACTAAATCCCCCTCTTTTTCAAATTCATGCCCTACACCATGGTATTTATTCAAAGTTTATTCCAAATTGCAGTTACCATGGCACTTATCCAGTGGAATTGTAATAGTCTGCGAGCTCATGGGCATGAGCTTAAGGCACTCATAGCCCATAACAAAATTTCTCCCGAGATTATAGCTCTCCGAGAAACCAGATTATCACCCCAAAACGCCTTCAAAATACCAGGCTATAATTTCATTCGGAAGGATAGACCTGGGCCACCTAATTACCCAGGCCCCCATGGCGGAGGGGTGGGCATTTACATTGTAGAAAAAATTAATTATACCATTTTGCAAATTCCTGTCACCAATGTAGAAGTCCTGGCTATAAACACTAAACTAAACAACAAAGAAATCACCATTATTAATGTCTACAGAAATCATAATATCAAAATCACTCCCCAAGATCTAGCAATACTCTCTACATTCATAGCCCCCAATACCATTTTACTCGGAGACTTTAACGCACATCACCCACTGTGGGGCACAAGACCCCACACAGATATTAACGGAACCCGCCTCGCCGACTGGCTAGGCCAACACAATCTCACTTCACTAAATGACAACCAACCCACCCGTTACCCTCTTTCCCACCTCCACTCACCCACAGCCATAGACATCACATTCAGCACCCCCAAGCTAACACAAGCTTGCATATGGGAGGTACACAACGACACCTGGGGCAGCGACCACTGCCCCATTAAAATCACTATAACTTCACACATCCCCACCTCACCAACCACCACTCCTCCACCCACACCCACAGAAACCAGATACAACATTAATAAAGCAGATTGGAAAAAGTCCACAACACTATGCAACCAAGTAAACACCTCATCCATCAACAGCCCCGATATAGACACATTTAACAGTAATCTTACAAACACTATCCTAAATATCACAAATAAATGCATTCCCACTTTTCGGTTCAACCCCGCACAAAAAACAGTCCCGTGGTGGAGCCATGAAATTATAAATGCCAGAAAGGCTAGAAAAAAGGCCCTTAATCAATCAAAAAGGGACCGTTGAAAATTACATTTAGCTAAACAACTACGTAACAAAACTAAACAAATTATCAAGGCAGCAAAAATCACCCATTGGAGGAAATTCTGTTCTACCCTCAGGCAATCTCATCGAAATCCCAGGACTATGTGGAATAAATTTAAAGCCATAAAGGGCATTTCTAAAAAAAACATTTCACCCAACTTTCCAGACCTAACCACAAACAAAGATAAAGCAAATGCCTTTGCTGCCCATTTCTCGGCTACAAGCAGCTCCACCAACTACCCACCCACCTTCCAAAACACTATTAAAAACCACCACCCCCCTATACACCCCACAACCTCCTCACACAGACCAACCCATAAATAAAATTATCAACATACATTAACTTAAAACCGCCCTAAAAAACAAACAATCAGCCTCAGCCCCAGGTCCAGATACCATTACATACACAATACTAAATAAACTACCCCCCAACATGCATAACCTCACACTTACCCTCTTTAACCATATCTGGACCACAGGAACTATCCCCAACACTTGGAAAACAGCCAGAGTGGTACCAATCCTCAAACCAGGGAAACCCAACAGCGAGCCTGACTCATACCGTCCCATCTCTCTTACCTCCCACCTCTGTAAAACCCTAGAAACAATTGTAAACAACTGGCTCAAACACCTTATTCTAACCAACAACTTCCTTAAGGAGGACCAGAGCGGCTTTACTCCAAATCGACAAACATTAGACCACATTTTACATTTAGAACAAGATATCAAAGTAGCACAAGCTCAGAAACAATATACTATGGCCATTTTTATTGATTTCAGTAAGGCATTCGACATGGTTTGGCACAACGGCCTACTACAAAATCTTCAAAAACATGCTATTCACGGTCGAATTGTAAATTTCATTCACTCTTTCCTAAACGACGGACAAATAACAATCAAATCTCACAACACCATCTCGGACCCAAACCCCCTAGAAAATGGAACCCCCCAGGGGAGCATATTATCCCCAACTTTATTCAACTTCATGATTAATGACATTTTTCCAGATAAATGGCCAGAAATCACAACTGCCAAATTTGCAGACGATATTTCATTTTGGACCTCCTCCACCTCAGTTAAACAGGCATCACTCAACACTCAAAAAATGCTAAATTCCATTCAAAACTGGGCCCCAAAATGGGGGTTTCACATCAACGTTAAAAAAACCGTGGGCATATTATTCAAAACACAGTATATGCAAAATTATACCCCCAAACTTCACCTAAATAACCAAGAAATTGAATTAAAAAAAGAAGCCAAATTTCTAGGAGTAACTTTCGACCGCCATCTGACATGGACACCCAACATTAATAACTTGGTCAATTCATGTCAAAAAAAGATCTAAACTTAATGCGAGCCATCAGCGGCACAAACTGGGGTGCCGACAAACATACCCTCATTAACATATATAAAACTCTCATATTATCGAGATTGGACTACGCCGCCCCGATTCTCCACAACCTCTCCACCCATAATCTTCAAAAACTTAATTCCATTCAATTTAAAGCCCTCAAATTAGCTCTTGGTGCGAGGAGTGGTACCTCTCTTCACACATTACTTCTACACACAGGCACCTCTTCAATCACACAAAGAATAAACCAAACCACACTCCCTTACTGGGCTGGGGCCCAACACAATCCCATATTTAAACTAATCACAAACAAATATAAAAACATTAAGAAATCTACACTTAAAAAGTTCAAATCAAACCAATTTAAAGCATCATGCCTTACTCACTTATACAGTCTGCTACATGCACAACAGCTAAACACCACTCAACACACACCTCCCATTACAAGCTACATTCACGACAAACCCCCCACCCACCACAGACATGTCCCTTGACACAATCCTCAAACAACTACCTAAAGACACCCATCAAACCACCATAACTAATATCATAAACAACTACATAAATACAAACTACCCCACCCACACTCACATATACACAGATGCATCAATCAACACAAACAAAACCACAGGCCTAGGCATACATGTTCAACAAACCCCCTCCGATCACAACTTATTTCCACTATACAAACTACACCACAATAAACACTGCTGAACTCACTGCTATTCTCACTGCACTACACCTAATACCCACCCTTCCCCAAACAAACTTCCTCATCTTAACTGATTCACTCAATTCTATCAAACAACTCCACAACATGCACTCTAAATCGCGCCCAGACCTCATACACAATATAGTAATCCAAACAGACTCACTCGCACGCTCAAACAAAAATATCACATTTACATGGATACCCAGCCACTCAAACATCACAGGAAACGACACCGCAGACACCGCAGCCAAACTCGCCACATCCCATATATCACCAAATCTCAATTTCCACACATCCAAATCAGAAATAAAAAACTCATTAAAACTAACATATCAAATACAAGCTTTCAACACAACATCAACACAAACAAATCAACCTGGGTCACCTCCATTTTAAAATCTCCCAATAAGAAAAATCCCCACATATTCAAATATCAAAAACATAGACACAGCAATAACCAGACTAATCACAGGCATCACAAACTTAAATTACACACTCTATAAACAAAACAGACACCCGGATGGACTATGCACACATTGCAACACCCATGAAGACATAAACCACATATTCACACATTGCCAGCTGCAACAAAACAAACATTAAGCAATTACACAGCAACATTCCCACGAAATACCACAATAACATACACCTCCTTCTCAACCCCCACAATCCGCCCAATATCTTCCATGCCATAGCCAATTTCCTACAAAACTCTAACCTACTCCATAAAATTTAGAACCTCCCAAACAAACCCTCTCA